GCATTTTGAGGGGAGTCCCTGCTTTTTGAAACCCTTAGTTGATTTTCATTCATGACAGAGTTCCAATGCTTTTGTGTTTTAAGGATCTTCCGAACGATTCAGAGTCAATCACCAACCCAAATTCTCGTCTTTCTTTCTTCTTCTCCAGCTTTTCCGGGTGGCTCAAACCTCCCTTCCGAACTGCCCGCACCCTTTTCTCTCAAGTGGGCCCATGTTCTGCTGGCTGCTGTGGGGCTCTCCCTCCCTCAAGGAGAGATCTTGAGGGCAGGGACCCAGTCCCCGCCATCTCGGTGTTCAGCCTCCGCAGGCTTCTTGTGGTGTCTGGCACGGTGTAGACGCCCAATCAATGTCGGATGCTATCCACGCACACATGGGGACTTAATTGCATCCCAGCCTCCAAGGGGGCTGAGGTTGCACAAGGACACGCACTCCTGCACTTCCCGTGGCACTGTTGCCAATTCTGTCACCCAGTGAGTATCGCTAGAAGGACCACAGTCTTGGAGGACATGTTGGGAGTCCAGAGAGCCATCTAGAGCTCTGCCCTTCTGTCTCCGTGCTCGCCGCACGATCTCCTCCCTCAGGCGGCCTTTCTCATTTTCACCCTGGCATGGGACATATAAAGGGGGAAGCACCTGTGCGACACAAAGCGAACAGGCAAGTTGTGACTGGAAAATGATGCATTGCTCTCACGCTAGCAGGGAGCCTCAGCCTAACCCCTCCATCTGCTGCCTCGACTTTTTGATCTAGACAAGAGACTCTGAGCGGTCTCACGTGGAAAGCTTGCCCGCAGTCACACAGCTCATGTTTGGCCGCAAAACTGGCAGGAAATCCTAGATTTTCTGAATCCTCTTTGATCGACGATGTTAGGCTCCCAGCAAAACAGGGACCGCTCTCCAGGGAGAGGGGAGCACAAGGGTAGCCGGCAAGGAAGCGGAGGGAGACCACGGGGGGTGGGGGGTGGGGGGCGGGCCGAGGAGCGTCATGGGAGGACCTCAAGAGTTAGAATTAAAATGAGAAATGATCCCTGTGTGGATCATAGTCTTTCTATTTTATAACAGTTTTAGTTTCCCAGAAACGTCGAGATCATGGTGCAGAAGCTTCCTATGTATTCCCTTACCGTGAGGTCCAGAGAGATCTGCCTTTGAGTGGACTCTCTCTCTCATGGCGACCTTAAGCACAACAGAACGAAGTATTGCCTGGCCTGTGTCTTTCTCCTGCTCACCAGCAAGTTCAAGTCCATGACACTTCCCTTATTAGTAACATCTATGTTGGAACAGGTACCTAGGACATTTGCTACAATTAACGAACCACCATTGGTACCCGCACAACAGCAATGTAAATACATTGTTTTATACTCAAGTCTACGCTCTGTGTAGGTTTCTTTACTTTTTCTTTTACTTAATTCCGTTTTCTGTTCCCAGATGCCTCCAGGAGACTGCACTGCATTTACAAACTATGTTTTCTCCAAGGCTCCTTTGGCCTGTGATCATTCCTCAGACTTGCCAAGCTTTTATTAACTTGGTAGCTTTGGGGAGTCGTTGGTCAGATCTTTCGTGGATGCCTCTCTATCATTTTTTGTTTCATGCCTCCCATGATTCAACTAGGGTTTTGATTTGGGGTAACCGCAGAGAAATGGGGCTATTTTCATCACCTCACATCACAGACATATGCTGTGAACGTGGCTTATCACTCTTTATTCTCACCTTGATCACCTGACTGAAGTCCCGTCTGTCAATTTCTTCACTATAGGTTATGCTTTTCCCCTCCCCCTGGTTCTGGATCTTACACTTTGGAAGAAGGCCCCTAGGTGAAGTCAGTACTCAAGGAAGGAGAATTGTTCTCCCCTTTTTGAAGGTGGAGGACCTACATAAATTATTTGAATATCATCTTCAAAATAAATCTGTTTACCTGTTCAATCATTTATTTGGACTCATGGATATTTATTTTACACTTTCAGTTAGGATCCGGTAGTACTTTATTTTATTGCTCAAATTGTACCCGCTTTTTTTTCCCAGTTGGTTCCCATGCTCCTTTGACATACCAAATGTTGGCAGAGGCGGTTTGCTCTTGTGTTTTGCTTATTTTGGTAGCTAGATTATTTATCTAGTACTTCCTTGCTTTCTATGGCCCCCAGTGGTGTAGTGGTTAAGCATTGGGCTTTGACCCAAATGGTTGGCAGTTCAAAAGCACCAACCACTCAGAGGGAGAAAGGCCGGGCTTTCTATTCCTGTAAGCCGTTATAGTCTCAGAAACCCACAGTGGGTTGTTACAAGTCAGCATTGACTTGAGGGCGGGGCATTTTGAGTTGTCGAGTCCTTACTTTC